CTGGTTTTAGTCCTGGTCCTGGTCCTGGTTTGAGTCCTGATCCTGGTTCTGATCCTGGTCCTGGTTTTAGTCCTGGTCCTGGTCCTGGTTTGAGTCCTGGTCCTGGTCCTGGTCCTGGTCCTGGTTTGAGTCCTGATCCTGGTCCTGGTCCTGGTTTGAGTCCTGATCCTGGTCCTGGTCCTGGTTTGAGTCCTGGTCCTGGTCCTGGTTTTAGTCCTGATCCTCGTCCTGGTCCTGGTCCTGGTTTGAGTCCTGATCCTGGTTCTGATCCTGATTTTAGTCCTGGTCCTGGTCCTGGTTTGAGTCCTGGTCCTGGTCCTGGTCCTGGCTTTAGTCCTGGTCCTGGTCCTGGTCCTGGTTTGAGTCCCGATCCTGGTTCTGATCCTGGTCCTGGTTTTAGTCCTGATCCTGGTCCTGGTCCTGGTTTGAGTCCTGATCCTGGTCCTGATCCTGGTCCTGGTCTTGGTCCTGGTTTGAGTCCTGATCCTGGTCCTGGGTTTAGTTCTGATCCTGGTTCTGATCCTGATCCTGGTCCTGATCCTGGTTTGAGTCCTGGTCCTGGTCCTGGTCCTGGTTTGAGTCCTGATCCTGGTCCTGATCCTGGTCCTGGTCTTGGTCCTGGTTTTAGTCCTGATCCTGGTCCTGGTTTTAGTTCTGATCCTGATTCCGATCCTGGTTCTGATCCTGATCCTGGTTTTAGTCCTGATCCTGGTCCTGATCCCAGTCCTTGACCCTGATCCAGATCCAAATCCCCATCCAGGTTTTGATCCTGATCCTGGTTTTAGTTCTGATCCTGGTTCTTATCCTGATCCTAGTTCTGATCCTGGTCCTGGTTTTAGTTCTGGTCCTGGTCCTGATCCTGATCCCAATCCAAGTCCCTGTCCAGGTTTTGTTTCTGATCCTGATCCTGGTCCTGGTTTTAGTCCTGATCCTGATTTTAGTTCCGATCCTGGTTTTGATCCTGATCCTGGTCCTGGTTTTAGTTCTCATCCTGGTTCTGATCCTGGTCCTGGTCCTGGTCCTGGTTTTATTTCCGATCCTGGTTCTGATCCTGATCCTGGTTTTAGTCCTGATCCTGATCCTGATCCCAGTCCTTGACCCTGATCCAGATCCAAATCCTCATCCAGGTTTTGATCCTGGTCCTGGTTTTAGTCCTGATCCTGGTCCTGGTTTTAGTCCTGATCCTGGTTTTATCCTGATCCTGATCCTGGTTTTATCCCGGTTCTGGTTCTGATTCTGATCCTGGTTTTAGTCCTGATTCCGGTCCCAGATCCTGATCCTGGTTTTATCCCGGTTCTATCCCGGAGTAGCTCCCAGTGCTCCCAGTAACGGCTCCCAGTGCTCCCAGTAAAAGATCCCAGTCCCCTCCCAGTTCTCCCAGTCCCTCCCAGTCCCCTCCAGTCTCCCCCAGTTCCCTCCCAGTTCCCTCCCAGTCCTTCCCAGTCCTTCCCAGTTCCCTCCCAGTTCCCTCCCAGTCTCCCCCAGTTCCCTCCCAGCTCTTTCCCAGTTCCCTCCCAGTCCCTCCCAGTTCTCCCAGTTCGCTCCCAATCCATCCCAGTCCCTCCCAGTCCATCCCAGTCCCCTCCAGTCCCCTCCAGTCCCTCCCAGTTCCCCCCCAGTTCCCCCCCAGTCCCTCCCAGTCCCTCCCAGTCCCTCCCAGT